CGCCAACCAGGGTGTTGTTACGCTCCAACAGATGCCAGCACAGAAGTGAGGGCCTTCATTCCTCCCGACCAAGTCATCGCTTGGCCACTTCTCCTCTTCTTCCATCCACATCCCCGGTGAGCAAACAACGCACGTCGTGGAAGTCCATGGGCTGGCATGTGTAACATGTGGCCCAGCCATCGGAGCCTATTGTGTGAAATGACCGTGCTGTGCTTTTCAGCTCCTTTTCCTGTGCCATAAACAAGGCGTCGAACACGCTCGTTATTCACACGATGTTCCCACCAGATGTGAGCTAAATTACGAAAGCACCGGTGGTCGAAGGTAACTCGCCTCTTCATGTCCACCGATCTTATGGGCCAGGTTTCGCAACCGTACAGTAAGGTCGAACGTACCACTGCATTGTACACTCTACCCTTCAGGGCGAGAGTGATGTCGCGTCGGCACCATATGTGGCGAAGGTTAGCAAAAGCGCCCCGAGCTTTTGCTATACGGTTCATGATCTCGTCTTCGTTCTCACGGGCGCTGACACAACTTCCTAAGTAGTTGAATTCCCGAAAGACTTCTAGCTGATTCCCACCAAGGGACAACGCAGGAGGCGATCCCTGCCAATCTTGGAGGAAAGTTTTACACCTCGATGGTGCAAAGCAAATCCCGAAGTGACGGACAGCCAGTGCTAATCGGTCCAGCGCGGCTTGGTACGTCTGGAAGCTGTCACAAATGAGGGCAATAATGTCCGCATGCTCCAAGTCAAGAAATCGTTCTCCGGGGAGTAGATCCACACCTTCCAAGTCATGTCCTGTAAATGCAATCTCCATGACTTCGTCAATAGCGAAGTTGAAAAGGAAAGGTGACAACGGGCATCCTTGTCTCACACCGCTGGGGATATTGAACGGCGAAGACGGCTTGCTACACGCGTATAATGATCGGATAATGTTTACATATTTCTCAGGTACATCTTTCCTGAGTAGACAGTCCAAAAGTGCACGTCTATCCACTGAATCGAATGCACCTGTGGTATCGAGGAACACGAGAAGCTTGGGCCCCCAATATATGTGATGGTGCGCCAACAACTGACGCAAAGTTAAAATGATACCAGTGCAGCCACGACCTCGACGAAATCCGGCTGGCTGTTCACGAATCTGGCTTTTACGAGTGCCAGTCAGTCTGTGAAGGATGACAGAGGCAAGCAATTTGGAGATGATGGAGATCAGACAGATTCCGCTATGGCTGCCTCATGCCAAACGTGAGCCCCGCTTGAAAATTGGGACTATGTCGGAGCGGCTCCAGTCGGTTGGGACAGTTTCCTGCTCCCACTGTTTCACTAGTAATTGTTGTAAAGCATCAACAAGAGCAGATCGCCCGAAGTTGAAGAGGGCTGGATGAAGATCATCTGGTCCCGCGGCTTTGTTCAACTTCAACAGTTCAATCTAACATTCGACTTCTTAGCGAGAGGGTAGATCCAAAGGGACAGCCCACGGAGCAGGGCGATCACTGGCCTGTGAAGATTCGAACAATACTAGCCGATTAAATTGCCTTTCTAAATGCTCAGCCCAAAGCTCCAAGAGTTTTGACAAATTGTGGATAGGCTGTCCATTCTCATCACAAATTGTTTCACTAACACCAGGTCTCCTGTTGCCCGTTTCCCGTATCAGACGGAATAACTTACGATGGTTACCAAGGACAGCGGCCACTTCCATCTCTGACGCACGGTGAGACCACCAAGATTCGCGGTCTCTCTTCAGACTAGCACGGAGACTTTCCCGAAGCTCTTTGAGAGTTTCATTGTGTTCGCTTCCAGCGGGATATACCGGTGCGCATCGATAATTTCTAGCAACTGTGAAAAGACCCAATAACCATGTAGGCTATTAGACATACCACATTAAGCTTTGCTTGCTGCTAGTAAAGTCTGGTGAATATGAGATCAGTGAGGTTCAACTGCATCCAGTGAGCGTTTATTCAACTCGCATAACAGCGTACTTCGATACACATTCAGAACAGCTGGCTTTGTCAGTTGGCTGGTGTCAATGTGCTCACAGCGTCCCGATAGCCTTTTACGAAGAACTGTATATTCAAACACAGGTATAATGATGTTACAAGGAATTTGTTTATGTTTTGACATTAAAGTTATAGTCGTGGAACTCATTGGCTATTGAAACATCAGATCCGACAGCTCAGGAAATTTTCAGCACCACGGGCGATTTGTGCTCACTTAGGTTAGCAAAAATTGGTGCACATAGTTTTCACAGCTGTTCGTTTACTCAATGGCTTCAATAAGTTAGCAACTATTGTAATGTAAAACAAAGTTTCGTAGTAGGTTTCTATCCTTCGCCGGTGCGAACGTTTATGTTAAGCCTAAAGCAGCACTTCAAAAATAAAAATGTTTGCAAATCAATTGCATCGAAATTGTAGTCAAAGTTAGAATATTCGCTTTGGATCATGACTGGTGACTTCAATATGAGCGACGCGGTTCTTTTTACATTGCTAGGTATAAGCATCTTGCTGAAATTTCCCACCAGACTCATTACCATACACACCAGACGTACATTTGGATTAAATTTACTAATAAGCATAATCTCTTTTCCTCACATAGACGCGCCCCTTTTGACAGCTCAGCCCAGACTTTCTGCAAGATCAACTGCGTTGCGATGACTAGGCCATTCAGGAGTGTTCAGCGATGAAATGATCAACAGAAAACAATGCAAAGCTTAATCTGCGCTCTATACAACTTTTCACAACTTTTTAATTTTTGCCTACAAGGATCTCTCAGCTCAATGCCAACACTTCACAGACTTTATCAACTTCTTTTTCAAACCATATTGCCCCATTAAGACCATCTATCTTCGGATTAATAGATTTTGATTTTTATTACTCAAGTAACTGTTAGGAAAAAGAACACTCTTACAAACCTAAGTTAACTGCTAGTGTTAGGTGTCCGTCTGTGGCTGTAAAAGCCTAGGTAAAAACGTTAAAGTGCCTACGTACTAAAGCCGTTTTAGGAAACCACAGTTTCCGTGTGTCGTGAAGGCGCTTGAACCAACTCCGGCAAATATTCCAGTGGCCAAATTGGTACTGTAGATGTGGACCAGCTCAACGCAGTACTTAGCTCATCGTCAACAAACACGTCTTCCCTACTTTCCTTCCCCAGCAATTCCCCACCCATCCTATTTGAAGCACCTCACTGCATGCAGGGAACTCAAAAAAGTGAAGCCAAGCAAGCCTAATGACCTTGTTTCTTTGTTCCCAATCGCTCTGAAAGAGTGTGTGGATGCATTACAAGTAAGACAGAGATTTTAAACCGATGCTTAACGACTGGCTCCATTCCCTACATCTGGAAAGCCTTAGAATAACACCTGTACTTACGAAGCAAATACAAAAGTTTCGGCCTGTGGCGTGCTGTTGGTGTTTGAAAAATTAATGTTTCCCTGAATCTTTGAAAGTATTCTTAGGAATGATAACAGACAGCTTTCACACAAGTCAGAAAGCTCTACACTAGATGCTGTTTTGTATCTTGTGCATTTCATCGCATCTGCTTCGGATAAAAATGTAAGACTGGACAGCTGGTGTTTTTTGATTATACTAATGACTGCGGGTGACTTGACAAGTAAATACTACCAAACTTTCGTAACTAACGTTCTCCCGTACACTTGTAATATTATATGTGACTACTTTATGAATTGAACACACTCTACTTTCGCGATCGCTGAAATTTGTTTCTTAATGCGCTGGATCAAGCAGCAAAACTCTCGTTTGTTTTGTAGACAGCAAGCGTTGTGACGTGTTCAGAAAACAAGCCTGGTAGCTCAGGTTGTTCGGATGGCGGAGCCTCGTTTGCAACAAAGGTGCCAAGCGCAACGTACAGTTAAACCACCACTTTGACGCAGCTCTAACTTCCCAGGCAGCTTACTAAACGACCCCTCTCACCTCGCACACACTGTTTTAGCAAGCAAGGCATCCATTTCTTCAACGCGGTAGGAATTTAAAGCTTTATCCTCCTATAACTCTTTGTATCATGACTCTGTATAGCCTTGACTGTCTCGCTTGTTATTCGACCCATGATGGTTGACGAGAGGTTGTCTACGTTTAGGATATTCGTGGGTTCTTACGCTCATAACACAGTCATGATCATATACACAACTCTTTGTTCAAAAATATGCAGTGCCATATTCAATGGAGGGAAAAGTAAGAATCCACCCGTCAAGCTTGACTCCTATATAAATTAGTAACGCTCACCAAAGCAATAACCTCAGGAAGCAGAGGAGTCCAATTTAGTCGGTTTAGTGGGCATGGGATAGAATGCTATTCACGAGTGAATAGAAGGTATAGCGGGCAGCGCTATAATACACCTACTAACTTAGTAACATTGATTGTGGCCGTCCCCGCAGGTCAGAAAGTTCAATCACAGACTTGAAACTATTGAGTTGCGGTTTCGGGTCCTAGAAGAGTCAGATGAGATTCACACTTTTGGCGATTCCAGGAAGGATGAAACAGCCATACACTGCTTCCTCAGGGTGTAGGGACTGTCTGACAGGGGTTTTGAAATAATAAACTCGTACTCAGAATCATATTTATAAAATAGAGGCCTCTCTGAATCTTGGGGTAAGTTTTTGATGAATGCTTTTACGCAGATAATTGTCAAGGTAACCGGCGGTGTATATGATTTCCGGATTCCTTTTACAGTATCAGCACTCATCCCCAAAGCAGAGTTGCGCCATTTGCGAATAGATCAAAGTTAATTTTTGATTTTAGGTTACCTTGAAGTAGTGCTTTATGCACCTGATTCTGCTGACATAATGTCAGCAACAGCCCGAATGCTCTACTTGGAAATAATTTTGGGGAAATTCCGTTATAATATTTACAAACGAAACAAACTCTCAATACCGGTGCTTCCTGCTAGTAACACTTCCATTACCCTGAACGTATTTCTGAGGCATTCACGATAATTTTGTTGAATCCTGGTTAAAATCATTCACTTTTTAAATAAATTTATATAGCATTCCGCTTCACAACAATGCAATGCAAGAGAGAGAAGCCATAATTGCGACTAAATTCACCGTTCCCCCCACGAGCCCATAAAATAAGCCGAAAATCTAATTAAAAATCAGAACAGTAATGTGCTCTCTATTTGTTAATCCTTAACCTGTCTAAGCTGCATCATAACTATGGCTTACACCCTAGGAGATGGGAACATCTGATTATCATGTCTTGGAGTAATTGTTCACCAGATAAAAATCTCCAGAACTGCTGGTCACTAAACCACACATTCAATATTCAGGAATTTCAGGAATTATTATCTTAGGAGAAGCACCAAAACTGTGTTTGGGGTAAGGTTCCATTCAGACCACAAAGTGTACCACTGATTTATCTCGTCCACTGTCATTATCTCTGGCCTTAAGGATAATGTATGCCTTCGCATTGTGCGATAACGCGTCCTAGTTCTCTTGACTGCTAGTCGGAACGGACATAATGTATTGCTCTCATGGTATCCCACATACAGTTTAATCAAATGGATTCGGATCTGTACTGTCTAAGAAAAATACTGTCTGACATTGTACATACCATCTTACACTAGAGATGAATTGCGTAACGTTACACGATCGCACCAGGAACCAGAAAAGAAAGACTAACCAGAGTAAAGTTTCGTTTACTGACTCAGACAAAGACAAACGTGACTTCTAAACCTTGTTATTCATATCTCTATAGTATAGAAGCGCCATAAATAACCACTAAAGTAACATGAATGATGGTAATGCCCAAACGTTACCAATTACTGAAGTCGAGTCAAACCTAGCTTTACAGGCCCAAATGGGAGCACGTTAAACACTTCACAAGAACACAGCTGATGTAATGCAACAAAATTGATCAGTCCATTCAGTTGGACTGCGTCCTGCACCATTGAGGAATAAAACTTTTATTTATTTAAAACATCAGCAGTAAGGAAAATGTGCATCTCCAATTAAGCATCCGGTCACGCATGCGATGTTTCATTTAAGATGAGATAAATAGTGAGCGTGACAGATAAGGGCAGGACAAAGTCGTAGTACCAGGTAGCAGAATATAAAATTTAAATTTTGGCCATGTAGATTGATGAAATATTCTTGATTGGAGGTTATGTATAAAGTAAGCAAAGTATGCATCTCAGAACAGGCTTGGAATCAAATGGAATTTTATGATTTCAGAAGGATTCGAATACTAATCGGTTTATGTAATTTTTTATTGCGGTATTTTGGGATCCCTAGTGAGAAGCTTATGCATCCAATGTACAGTTTTTACCGCTAAATTCGACGAGCAGTTCTTTGCCAAATTCAGAGCAAGGAGAAATGGGCAAACTGTTTGACATCATCAGTATGGTTGCCTTGAGAATGCGAGGAATCAGTAGTTTTTCCATTACCATTAACCTTATGAAAGGGAATGCAATTGATCGACGATTCCAAGCTCCTCCTTCTAGACGGTACATTTTGTTTCAGTTAATTACTAGGTTACAGTTATGGTACCAGTCGTAAGCACCGTCTCTACATCTCTGTCACAGATATCTGTAAAAGGATTGCTCACCCTTAGAGCGACTAATGATACAGTATCCGGACGAAGAGCCTTGTTTGGTTTCAGCCTTGTAAGCTGCTTGTAAACGCTTGTGTGATCAAATTAATTAAGGCGCACTATGGTGGTGAGGGAACATGGTGAGTTTGTTAAGCGATAAGGAACTGAACGCAGCGCCGAGTTTGTCTACATTATCGGTTCTGGGTATTCTGCAGGGATGTATTTCAGTTGTGTTAGAAACCTCCTTTTATACGACACCACTAATACAATCATACAAGAGATAGATTGTTTTAGTCAAAATAATGGAATAGGGATAAAAATATTTAGACAACGCTTCAAATTACCTAACGCAAAAGACATTTCCTGGTTTTGGAAAGAACCGTGCTTTCTTGGAGACAACTCACCGTGTTCCCCAAACTATTCTATAAGTTACAATAAACAGACATGCAGTTGCTACAAGCAAAGTGTGGTTCAAGGCCAACAGCATTACACATACTAATTCAGTCAGCATAAAGGTTAAGAACCATAGCTTTGGAATTAGGGCGCGTATGCACAAGGTACAACTTCAAAGGGAAATCGACTTATTAATGTAAAACTGGTTAATTTTTTCAAATTATGCAAGGAAAAAGCTTAGTAAGATGGCCTTAAAAACTTGGCTAAAGCGTCTGAAGAATTTTCATTGTGAAAGCATTAACTATGTGAATAATGTGTGGGTACTTACGTGCTTGTTAGTGGGCAGGGATACTTGACAAAGATGCTACTTAGCAGTTTACGGAATGCGCAATGGTTTGCTTATGGCAGTGCTTCTTATTCTGTGGGTAGTTACATCAAATGCATAAAATGGAAATTTAGCAGTGATAAAGATAAGTAAATGGATTGCCATCATTACTAAACATTTACGGAAACCTCCTCTACTTTAACCTCCGCTCGCAGTAACGTGCATAAACGGGAAGATGTGGCAAAATTGGGGAATAAATTGGTACAACCATTATAACAGAGGTATATATACTTATACATGGTTGGCAGTATCTGGTTTTCAACTGCCGTCACTGCTGTCTTCGTGAAACAGCCACATGACGTCTGCTCATACAGAGGGACCATGGATATCTTGCGCTGCAACGCACACAGCCCCAAGCGCACACACCATATCCAGTGTAAACTCGATGGAATAAGACAAGGAGGGTTGTAGATTGGAGCCACGTTTCATCAACGGAGCCAAGCACACTCCTTCAACATGCACAGCTGCAGCACTTCTATCTATCTACGCGGGGAATCATGGGTACTAGAGGTACACAAAGAGGTGGCTTGGCCGTAGTCTGTCTCACATTAGGTGAAACCATTCTTTGAGCTTCGGACAGCCAAGAGGAATGCGCACTCCCTCCTCTAAGCAAAAATTCAGTCTCCTTGAGCTATTACTCGAGGTAGTTGTATTTCGACAGGTAGGCACTTTGATAATATTCATCTCAAGTGCAGCCACACCGGGGATATCGAACAATAAACACATAATTTTAGGTAAAATAAATATGCAAAATTGACACCGGATATGCAACAGAATGACAGCACTGAGAAACTCAAATGAACTAGAGTAGTTCAATCCAGCTTTCAAGCATCTACTTTGAGTAAAAGTCAAGGTGATCCAACTGGGGTGAAGAAACATAATGTAGGCAACCTCCATCTAGCATTATACACTTAGTAGACATATTAACATTTATATGATACAATGGAACAATGGTCTTATACGGGTAGAAAAGCTAATGCTTAACAGGTCCCGTAGGATGATTATGATGAAACTTCAACAAATAAAACAAAATTGTTAGCAAAATTGGGTTTACACCAGTGAACTCACTGAAATATACGTAGTGTAGACTGTAAATCCAAGGTAAATCCGTAAGAAACGCTGGCAAATAGAAAGTTGGTAAAAATCGTGTCTACTTCTGATGTACACATAGAGGATGTGAAAATGTAGAATGAAAGTTGTGCTGTGACCGCTAGAGAAAGCGCTTACAGACAATTGTGTTTATCCATGGGTAACGGGTCAGGTAAGACGGTGCAGGGAAATAAGTGCATGGTCAACTGGAGCTTTGAACTCTGCAAGCGTGGGAGCACGTATGACAGATTCCGATAGAACATTTTACTTACGGCAAACGCGTAAGGAAAAGAACTTCCGACGGCATTCCAAGCGAGTGTGCTTCTCTGTCAGTTTGAGATGGTGGCGTCTCAAATTGCTGTTGTGACTGAGCTCAAGTAAGTAGCGGCATGTGTGGTTGGGATTTCTCAAAATTTGGTATGTTAAAATGAGGTCGCGGCGCAATCGCCGATATCGTCTGCTAAAGACCCCGATCACTTGTAGCCTTAGTTCATACTGCAAATTATAATGACCCTTGACATTCATGGTTGCTGGTCCGGGGGGTATCTCCAAGGCGGTGAGAACTCTCCTAGGCCATGGTTTCCAGATCTGTATTGCGTATTTCACATGTGGCCGTGTCTACGAGCCGAGAAGTTGTGGAAATATCGAAGTGTCTTATGGTCCAAACACAAGTTTCAGGAGTCCCGCATGTTGGATGCCGCTCCTAGACGCCGTTTCAGCTTGCTTCGAACGTCCTAACACGATCTGAACACAAGCTCCCAGATCATTTTCGCCAGAAGAGGTTTGAAGCTCCTGCTTGCCGAGTTGGTAGGAGTGCACCAACTTGTGCCGTAGGTGGAACACTCTACATTTGTTCACATTGAATGTAAGTAGATTCTGGGTTCACCACGCTCATACCCTATCCAGATCAGCTTGAATTACTTTGATATCGTCTGATGATTCGATCGCCCTCATACATTGATGTCATCTGCTTAAAGTAGGCAGTTGAGTGTATGGGGCGCGATATAAGTAATATACCTCAATAATAATCATGATCTTTGTACCGATCCCTGTGGTACTCCGCATTCAACTTGGATGGTATTTGACAGCGAAGAAAGTACACGTACTTCTACTAGCCGGTGTAGAAGAAAGTTTCCGATCCATCCTGGGAGAGCATCATCAATACCAAATGTTTGAACTTTGAAGAGCAGAATGTTACGGTCTACATGGACGAACGCATTTGAGAAGTCAAGGAAGGCTACATCAACTGCTGTATCAGAACCTATTACTTCAGTCCAGCTGTATCGTGTTAGTAGTAGATTTGTGTGCACAACAGATTTCGTCGGAAGCCATGCAGTTCCGGTGAGAGGTAGTTAAATTCTTCCAAGTAGGCTGTTAGCGCGTCAGAAATAATAGCTTCCATGACTTTTAACGAACCGGTAGTAAGATTATGGGATGATACTTTAGTGGATTGGAATGACTACCTCCCTTTTAAATAGGAGTAATCATCCCGTATTTCCACATATCGGGCACATACATTCCTTCAAACAGTGTTGAAAGAATCGAGCCAAAGGCTCAGCTAAACTCTCTCCTACTGTCGCTAGCGATTTCCTGTGCAAATTAACAACTCCAGGAGAGCTGTGCTTGCACACAATCAACTGCATTTTAGTATATATTTTGCTGTGAAGGATATGTGAATGAGCATTG